ATAATTTACCAGAATGATATATGAAACCAAACATAAATCTCTTCAGTGAACTGCTAGCTTTTTTGATTTCTTTTGTACTGAGACAATGGTACATTTACATGCTACATTTCAGAGGTTTATTGAAAAAAGCTACTAACATTCCAGCTGATTTCAGCATCATTCTGAAAGACAGTCACATTCCACATTGCAAAACCTGGTTGCAGTATCAATGCAGTTTTTTTAGTGAGAAATTAAAACTTCAGACACAGGCCATCTTTTAAATCATTTATTTCAGTAGGAAAGATTTCTGAAACCTGTACTTCAATTCATTTCAACTAGCTTATGCAAACACACAATTTTCACACGCACACACGGAATAAAGTATTAAAAAAGTCAAAGAGAAAGGCTAGAGGACAGCCAAACTGCACATCACTCAATGAGATCATAGTGCAATCCCTCTATCCCTATAACACTTCACGCCAGCAGGGAATATTAAAAATGGCTTGTGTTTACTGCATGACAACCTTGCTCCCCCTTCCAGTGATGGTTGGTCCTTACAGGATTATTATAAAACATAGATATGATTTCCTGGTGCTTTTCACACTTCAGTACAGCAGTATTTTAACAGATATGCTCCTGTACACATGGAGCTAAAAGTGCCAGTAAACAAGGCACCCCAGGACCCTTTATTTCAACATTTAATCAATTTATACTGCTTTTCAGTTTCAACTGTGAACAACTTTGGAATGGTAAGAAATACCTTCAGGAAACACATGTGAAAGCCAAAACCTACCCAAATAAAGAGAAATAATATACTAATCAAACACACAAAGGAAACGGAATATTTATGATGCTTTTAGTCATTCAAGCGCAAGATCAGGCCAACAGCCATAACCACACCATGATCTGCAGGAACTTGCATTTCATTACATTTCACACACCTTTTTTCTTAGCAACATAACTTCAAGAAAACTTGTCAGCTGTTCTGCAACAAGCACAGCTAAACGAAGTAATTTGTGTTCTCTCCTTTGACCTAATCCTTCTCTGGTCTTTGAACGTTCTTAGAAAGCCTAAGATTAATTTTCAGATTATCCTTGCCTTTCCAACATCTGAATTTATAAACAGTATAGTAAAACTGCTATGTTTTGATAAGGATGTGTTCCAGGAAAACAAATATTTAATTGCTTAAGAACAACACATTCTTCTTTTCATTTCGCCTCCCAAAGCTTACGAAGTCTTGCTACTAAAATATTCTCTATCAGCTGCTGCAGTGAAGGACAGTACTCTACATAGTATTGGCACTAGGAATACAATATACAAAACTGAGCTTATGGGATATTAAGAAAGAATAAGATTTATCCAAGCCTTCTCTTTCCCCAAACAGCTTTTCCCTGTCGTATTTATTTTACATTAACAAAAAGCTTGTAAGAAATAAATCTTCTCATAAGAATGCTCTTCAATGTTTAAATAAAAAGGAGAGAGAGAAAAGCAAGGTCCTTTCTAATAATGCAAACTCTTAAATTCATATGGTCTAGACCACAACTTGGACTACCTTCTTCAATTTTTCCCTCTACTAAAACTATTTAGACACATGTGAAAATAAAAATAAATTAATTCTGAAGAAGTCCTCTGAGCTACTCTGATAAAAACTGAACAAGCCCAAGCTACCAAACACCTCTGCATTTTTCCTAGGAAAACACAGAAAAAAAACAACCCTAAAGCAATTCAAGCCACAACTATTTTACACTGACCAAAACAACTAACTTCTGCAGAAATGCAATGACGGTTAAGGAATGTTACCCCTTGGTACATCAAGGACACAGTATGCAAGTGTGCCATTGTGGGACTCGCAGCACTGAAATAAAGGAATTGGTCTTCAAGTTAGTAAATAAGGCACTGACAAAAGTCCTCCTTAAATCCAAGCACTCACCCTCTTGATGCATTACAAATTAGAACGATGGTTTTAAAAATTAGGATAACCCCTACAAACAAATATCCATACATACAGATTCTGTTCTTTTAATGACAACTTTCCCAAGCCAAACCACCTTATGCACAAGCCACTTTTAGAGAAAAATTAAAGAAAAAGGGCAATAATTAAATAATAACAAAAGTTTTAAAGCTTATCCCTGTAGGGAGAATAAGCAATTAACTGATGTGATTTAGTACCAGTCTGGTGTCTTGATGCTTGTGACAGGCAGCATACTACAGCTGGCCATGGGAAAGATTGGAACTACTAACGCTGGTGGGTTAGCACACCAAAGAAAAGGACAAAGAATGAAGAAAAATGCCACTGACAGAGCCAGAAGAAAAACATCCCGTGATTTATCTTATCTTGATTTAGAGAAGATTTGCTACAGTTAACCAAAACCACAAGATCAATTTGCCTTTTATCAAAAGGGACCTCACCTCCTCCAGTGCCTTCCCAGCACAAAAAACTGCAGTTACTTCTGCTGGAAGGGAAAGCATTTGCTTTGAACGTTTATTATGTCTGATACTAACAGAGGAAGACTATTGCTGAAAATGTATAAAAGTTTGCATTTAGAGGAGCAGAGGAAGTTGACGTTGCACAAAAAATTAGATTACATGAATTTACTTCTAGTGAGGAAAACATAACTAATAAAATCCTGCTGTGGTTTTTTATGTTTTCTTTTGCTCCCAATATGTTCTCAAATACACATACTTCTGTAAACGCTTTTCTTGGTAAACGTTCAAGCGCTCTGCAGTTGCGTTTTGAGGAGGAAAGTTAATCAGCTCGTTCCCCAAAAGAGCCACTGACTCCTCAAGCAGGAGGCTAAAACATCTGTGTAACAAGGGGGCTGCTTCTCACACTAGCTGCAGAGTTGACAAATAATGTCTGCCATTACAGTGTTTTCCTTTTCAGATCTTTCTTAAGTAGGATATGATTTTCAAAGTAATTTAAAAGAGCTAACAGTAACACAATTTTAAAGCTGGGTGCTAAAGTTCATTCATTAAGTATTTATGTGCATTCATTTAGTATTTCTAGTTATAATGCCTATAACTTGCACCTAAATACTTAATTAATCATAATAGCCTAAGTAATATTCCTCTGGCATGAAATGCCTCCAAAATGAAATATGTGTCTGGGATGAGCTATGTTGACTCAAATTATCAGAATTTTTCAAAAAGAAATCTCCTTATTTGCTTTCTAAGGACACTGGGATAGAAGTCAGGTTTGAAAAAGCTAGTCAAGGGTAGTATGGAGTAAGTTAGAAGACACAAGTTAGCAGTAAGCATTCAACCACCAGTGCAACGTTACGCACTGCATCGATTTCATAAACCAGACATTCCCTGTTGTTCAATCTTTCCCAAGACTGTTCGTTTAGCTAATGAAGTGGTTAGCAGTCAGCAGGTGATTAACATTTACATGTGAAGTCTTGCTATGAAGATCGACTCTGAATACTTTTTGCTCATATGCCTCCAAACCAGGGAGCTGTAAGGGGCATCTCTAGGTTCAAAATCAAAACATTAAGAAGTGACAAATATTACCTGAAGTATTTCAGCAGTTATTAACAAGATGAAGAATTAAAGCAATACATTAAAAATGAAAATCAAGGAGAAACTGTCAACTCTCTGAAGTAGTCTGGCTGACAATCTTACCTGAATACCACGAGCTCGCTGCTGTCCTTGTTTTCTCAGCACTGGTTTTAATGATTTAATTTTTTAACCCCCTTTTTAAAAAAAAGGGCATTACTGTGTTCTTTACAGGATATTTGACTTGAGTCTTTCCAAAGCTTAGCTGAGGCAGCTTTCCCTCAGGGAACAAACCCCCCACCTCCTTCGAGCACCATTTACCTCAAAATATGTAACATTTCCGTATTTCTGTGTTGCCCTGCAAGACTACGTGGCTGAACAGGAGATAAACAATAGGAAAGTTCTGAACTACTCATTGCAACAAGTGCCAATAATGCTTTCCATGTTGTCATTAGTCACTCCAGTTATGCTGTCTACACATTTTAAGAAACTCCTCCCACAATATTCAATCTCTCTCACGAAAAACAGCAGATCTGAGGGTAGAAAAACAAGGAAGAGGAGGATGCCTAAGAACAATGGAAGTTGGTAACAGCAACAATGCACAAAATGATGATTTGTGAACTGTTTTCCCCACCATCTTCTTACCATAAAAACCTAACTCAAAACAGCTGGAAAAATACAAAAAAACCAAATAATAAATGACATTTTCTGACCTGGCTCTGTCTTTAGCAAAACTGTGTGATGTCAGGCTGTGGCTCCCAGTTGCACGTTTCCTTTCACTAACAGAAGAACAGACACAGTTACACTGCAATGAACCTCTAATAGCTTATTTTAAAATGTCAAAATCCACAGGGTATTAATTATCCACAATGCTTAAAAAAAGTACACACGTTGTTAAAAAAAACACTTAGTTGCTGAGAAGAAACACACATTAAGTAAATTTTTTTTAACAAAACAAAAAACCCAAACAAACCAAAACTAAAGCTGTGCAAAGTCTACTACATCAACACTGCTGGCTATGAAGGTGTCTTTACTATACACCCAACATGGGTAAACTTGGGAGATGTGTGAACTGCAGAGGGATTCAGCACAAGCAACCCCTTCCCAAAATACATGACTTCAGGATCAGAACAGATTATTTATTTTCCATTAAAAAAAATAAAAAAAAAGAAATTGCAAAGGGCCACAAATTCCCATGGTGCTTCCAGTGTCATTCTGACAAAAATATCCTTCTACTGTTTTCTTTCTACCAAGAGCCAATTCACAAGGACAATTCTTGGAAACATGAACCAGCCTATTACCCTTTACTGTACATCACCAAGTGCTTGGGTTGTGGGGGGTTTTTTTGTTTGTTTTGGTTTGTTTTTTTTTTTTTACTGGGAGATTGGATTATCCTTCTGTTTTGCCCCCTAGAACTCAGAAATTAGTAATTTCCTTTAAGAGATTAATTTGACTCTGGAAAAAACCCAAAAGAAGTGAATTTATAGGCTTCTACTCAGCTGCAATAAACAAACTGTACATTTTCAAAATAATAACTACTAGTAGAAACCTTTATTAGGACAGTCAGAGAACTCTGCTACAGACTGGCAGTAGCTTGTTTCTTTTTAAAAGGCATATTTCAAGGTGGAATCTGCAAGCGTATTTACGGCCACTAAACCACAATGTCAATGGAACACTTACTACTTTTTCACAGTCTTCAAAGTTCTGATATCGGAGTCATATTTTGGACAACGTTTCCTTGCTTTGCAGAGATCATGTTTTTGAAGATTAAAGAAAGACTGATTATCCAGGAAACTATATCTAGGTGACGTCAAGGAAACTCAAAGCAAGAATCAAAGTCTTCAGCATAAAACACACATATAAAGCATGGCTCCCTTTTTACAACCATAATGTTTTTCTCTGTGAGTAAATTCAGTGACCAAGAATTATTCCCGTCAAGGCTGGAATTTTGATAATAGCACACCTTTTCTGTCCTTAGCTTATCCTACTTTCTAATAAACTAATTGTTTGCCTGAAGATCAAAAGAGCTTCTGTATATAAGGTCTGCTTTAGGCCATGTTATCAATACCACACAATGTCAACTATTTTGACCAAGACAGATACTAAAATCAATTATTGCCAAATGAGAACATCAAAGCTTGGAATTGTGCCTCTATCTTTTTTAAACTTAGATCTTAAGTGATATTATATGAAACACCATACACTAACAGTGGTCCCTAACTGATAATTAACAGATACCCAGAGAAGTACAATATCTCGGTGAGCTGTACCCAGGTGTTGGTTTTGTTGTCATTCAACCTTTGTATGTAGGAGAGTAACATGTGCAGAAACAAATGGGAAGAAGAAAACACTCAGTTCTGACCTAACAGTGCTTTCAGTTTTGTCTCTTCCACACACACACACTGACCACCCAAAACACGTGAACTGCGTTTTTAACCAGGAATTAGGTAACAACATACCAAAAAAATTTTTGGTGTGTAAGTGCTCAGCCTTTGTGCCACTGGCAGGGAATACAGCTCCCATACAGTACTAAGGTTTGCAAGCTTACTGGTATTTTAAACTTGCAGTTGTTACATTTCTTATACTTGTAGGTCTGAGAGAAATAACATTGCTCCAGGCTATGTGTGCCTAGGACAAGCTCCCATAAAGAACTCCTGGTACAGACTAAGCAACATCTCTAGAACATGTAGTACCTCTTTCACCCAGTTCAGACACAGCTTTTGATACAACTCTTAAACACCAGTTTACTTGTTTTCTTAAGAATACCTAAAAAGGTGAGTTATTTTCAAAATTAGTATAAAGTTAAAAGAAGCTCAAACTAGCTACAATCTATTTAACTCAAGCACAGCACCGCCAGAAGTTTCACACACACTATTTGGTGTTTCATGTTGTTTTTCCTTTCACTCTTTAAGGCAGTGGTTTCCACAGGTCAGTTCAGAGAATATAACGAAGCACGGTCCATGGCAATTCATGTTGCAACTCCATTTTTAATGTGGGGTCTCTGCTCCCCAACCATTAGTGGTTTTGTTCAGGGCTCCATTGTTCAGAGATCAAGTTGACAGGCTCTGCTCTGGCACAGAATACAGCTGGCACATTTTTCATCAAGACCTCGTTCTCAATTATGAGCTGGTTCAAATTGTTCTTTTTCTGTTTTAAATTACACTATTATTCAAAGGTCATCAAGTTGGCAGGAACCTGTAAACAAAAATATAAATTATAGCAGATTTTACTTTGTAGCTACTTACATTTCACTGTTTCACAGACTAGCCACCTGTTTAAATGCACATCATTAACACTCGTTCTGTCTCAAAAAAGGGGAGGAAGAAGGGAACTATCATTCAGCAGTACAAATATACTTAGAGCTGTAGAAAACCCAGGTAAAAACAAAATACTAAACTGCTGCATGGTTTATAATTTTATTATATGACCATAGATCTTATTAATTTTGATGACATTTAAGATTTAAGTTGTCAGCAAAACAACCTTAACATGATAAATCTCAGCACCAAACTACACAAGCAGAACCTTCTCACTTGAGTCCCAGCTAGAGAATTCTTGGCACACAGGTCAGTGATTAATGTAGGCCCTCTAGTATTTTTAAAACTAATTTAAAAAAACAAGGTATAAACACCTGCCTGGGCTTTTCCCATAGGAAACCCGAGTGCCTGTTGCAGACATCACTCCCTTTCATGAAGATTAAAGCTAGCCTGCATTACATTAGTTTATACACCCATTTTGTCCCCATCAGGAATTTGCCTGACAGCAACATCTCTTGTTTACTCAGGTTACTAAAGAGCCACCACACTCCTGATGACTGTCAAAAAACACCCAGTTTTTGGTCAGATTTGAAGCAAGCATTTCTTGCTTTGCATTTACCATTTACTTGTAGAAGAAAGAATGATCAACTGGGCTAAAGTTCCACCATTAAAATAAAAAGTAACATCCACTAAAATAGTTCCCAATATTATTCAGCTGGGTAGGTGTTTATACTCTATCAAAAGCACATTTAAACATCCGATCTTTCTTAAGCAAACTGTTAAAAAGCAAATAAGATCTTCCATTTTAAACAGTACTATAAGGCATCTCTCTAGGGAAAGCACTGTTTGGGAGTCAAATCACGATAAAAAGAAAAATTTTACAGGATTTTCCCCCCCTCTCCACTTATTTGGTAAACTAACCTTTATAACCTAGTGTTTGTGTGAAGCACTGCTTCTTCTATGAGAGCAACTATGCTGCAAGAACCCATATAGTACAATTATACAACATGCCAGAAAACTGAAAAAAATGCAACAAATTATGGTAGCAGGGGTTTTTGGCCTTCTAGTGGTAGGGTTTTGGTTTTTTTTTTTTCATTAATCCTCTCCTCCTTTTTTTCTTTTAAAACCTCCTAGGCTTATCTTCACTTTGCTGTCATATTTTCCACAGGAAGCCTCGCCAAGATCCTTAAGCCTGCTGCTTCTGCACAAGCTAGGGGCTGAATGCTTTAAACAAGTTTGCATTAAATAGTATTGTTAAGCCTTATTGAATAAAAACTGTCCTCAGAGGGCAGTTTTCAGGCTTGCCTGGAAGTCACCACTTCCTTGCAAACTTTTTGCCACTGCTTGCTACTATTCCCACGTTCTCCAGCCAGGAACACAATTTCCTTTCCTTTGCACTGTCTTAAATACTTTCATGGGAGGTTCTGCAACCCTCTTTACTCCTTAGATTTCTCTCAGAAGCAGAACTGAACAAGAAAGCACAGAAGGATCTGGAAAGGTTCTTGTGTTTCCCCTTGAAATTCAGTAGTATTTCTGCTCTGGGAACTCCATAAACAAATGTGCAAAGGAAAAGGGAGGTTGCAGGAAGACAAAGGGGCAACTTAAAAAGGATTCTGCTGATGAAAAAGGTCAGTAAGAATTCAGATGGGAACAGAATTTAATAGGGGTTGGAGTAGTCTTACCTTCCTTTTTGATTAATGGAAAATTCTATTTTCATTTTCAAGTTGGCTACATTTACCTAAGACTGAACTATTTTTTTTATACATTTTAGAAATACATACAAACAACAGAAAACATGCATGCCAAAGACCCGACAAAATGGCACTATGGGAGAGTTATCTGGAATTTATATTGAATGCTACTTTTTAGAGCTTTTTATGTCCATGGAAAATAGCCTTTTTAAAATGGGCAATGACAAAAATACTGCCACTCGGATATTTTAGTGCATTCCTTCCATTTCCCCAATTGCTTTACATTAGCCTCAAGATAGCCCCAAATCTTTCTTCATTACCACAGAAGCTCTGAGGACTTGTTTGCAAAGGGACAAAAAGGAAAGCTAAGGCAAATTGATAAGCACGTGAAATGATGTACATGGTGCTCAGAATAGACTGCTCTTCATAAAAAGCAATCAGTTACAGCTCGGTCATCTTGAAGATCTACCAGTTCTGAGCTCTTAACAGCTCATATTCCTTTTCAACATCTCGCTCTCACCTGTTGTCTGTTGCTTTGGCAGGCAGCACTCAGGTGTTTAAACCACAGCATTGCATTCATCCTGTTTCCAGCTTGAAATTTATATGAATTTCCTAAGTGAGAAAGGTAAAGAAGAAATGATAAAGAAACACAAACAATACTACACACTTATTTCCTAGCCATACTCAAATAATGATAACTTAAAACATTACGAAAAGATTTAATAGCAGAAGGTTCATGTGACTTTACACTTCGTCTGGCATAAGTGCAACTTAATTGTTTGACCTAGTGCAAGACGAGTCTCAGCTTGCCTGTCTTCCTTTCCAACAGTCTAGATTTCAACTAACACCAGTGACAACTAGGAAAGAACAAAATACTTCTCAGAACCATACAACAAAAATGTTTTTCTTCCTTGCCATTATTGGAATGTGTTTATAATATAATTTATTTTTCTTTTTTTTTTTTTTTTTTTAAATGTAGTGCAAGATAGCACTGAAATGCACTCTAGAAAGCTACCTTTGAAAGCTGTTCCTAAATATATCAGTACATTTTTCAGACTAGTTTTTTTCAGTGTCTGGTGTTATACAGAGCTTGCTTGGGGTGAGAAAGGCCAAGTATTACAAAAACAATTCAGGTTGCTGTTGCTGAGTTTAAGCTGACAAGCATTCATAATTTACACCGCATATCAGTGGTAGTAAAATAAGCGCTCAGAAATGAAATGTACTAAGACTTGAAGTGGACAAAGTAATAAATAATGTTAAGCTCCTTTATCAGAACTTCTAATAATGCTCTTTCTGCATAGCTTGAAGTGCTATGGAAAAGTAACAATTTCTTCACAGTTTAAACTGAAAACAGAGTGCTACACTGGAGTAATGGAAATCAAGGCTTCTCTGCAAAACAGTCAAGATCTGTTTGTCTTCTTTCCCTGGCAACAGTGCTACATCTGAACAGATGGTTTGGTTTGGGTTTTGTTTCTCATTTGCAGAGGAGAGGGGACTGGTCAAGCACCTAGTGTCATCTGAATACTGAACTTGTTAAAAAAACTGTTACTTACATTGGCACATATGTGTAAATGCCTCTGACTGGTCTAAATATAGTTTAAAATAATGCAGATGAATAATTCCAATAAAAATCATAATTGGAGCTTAGTTAGAGTTTGGAGAGTTCTTAGAATTTAATGAAAACTCTAAGGATTCTCTATGGACAACTGTTCGCACAGCATTCTAAAGGCAAACATGGCACATTGGAGAGCAGCTGAACAACTGAAAGGTAACATCCTTCCAACTTCATTTAGTTGCTTATGAATATGTCAGCTAAGCAAATGTTTATACTGGGAATCACTGCACTCTTGGTGCTAGCATTGCTTACCCTTCTCAGAATCAGTCAATAAGAAGAGATCCGGATGCTCAGGGTCATCTGCCATCATCACCATCCAGCCCACCACTGACACATTCTTACTCGGCGTGGATTTGAACTGGAAGTGCAAGCAGAGATGTAAACTAAAGCAAAACAAGAAGCTCCATCCAGACTGCCTGCACTGCACAAGTATTGGCAAGGGCAGTTCTTCTCAGTGACACTGTTAAAAACACAGAATAACTTCACAGAAAGCATAGCACTTCATAAAATTTGGGAAGTTTATGAATTTTATATGGCATTAGTGAAAACAGAACTAACCACAATGAATGATATTCAAAACAAATTAAAACGAATATCACAAGCCCATAAAAATGTGTCAATGGACATTTAAACTGCTCTGTATGAATACAATAGCATTCCTCACTGTGTTACTGCACATGTGTACGTACACTATAGTTCAAAAAAGTGCATTAATGAATGCAAAGCTAATCCCTCCACTGTTAACAAACAGAAGAACTCAACTTGTCTGTGCCATAATTATCCAAAGTTAACGTGCATGAATTATTATAATAGTCTGCAATTACACATAACTTGAGTCCTGCAGACAAGATAACACAACTGTGTAATTAAATATTATGACCCAATGAATGAAATGGATCAAATGAGGCTGTAGATTCAATAAACAAGTGCCCAGAACACAACATGCTCATTTATTGAGAGGATGTTCAAAATGATGGGGTTTTCCTGTTCAAAGTGTTACTTACATTGACATATAACTTAGGCCTTTTCTAAGCACAATACCTGTCTCTTCTACAGTAGCCCCTCTCCTGATAGCTCCTCGGTCCCACTCTCCTTTTCATTCACCTGGTCCATATTATTTTCTGCTTCTCCTCTCAGTTCCAGGCTACTTGCCCATTAAATCCAACTAATTTCCAAACCACAAGCTTCCTTCTCCCTGGTCTCCTTGCTTATCTATTAGCAGACCCTCACAATTCATCTCTCATTACTTGCTCAGCCAGGCCCATTCACTCCCAGTATCTAATTCATTCATATTCTCTCAAATCTTTAGTTGCCAGATCTCCTCTTCCCACATCCACAGGTTCAACAGACTTTTCTCATCAATCCTAGCACTCTTACCTCACTCCTCTGCCCAGAACATCCAACTCTGCTATATGCTGGTCCTTATCAGATGTGTCTTCCTCCTCTCTAGTGAAATTCCTATTCTAACCTCTTAATTATCACAGTAATTTTGACCTCTCTTTAATTACATTATAAGAAATGATAAAGCTAAAACAATCTTGGGGACATTTTAAGTCATTAAAATTAATTTATAGTTCTAGAATACTTTTATTCTTCATACTAATGCCATATAGCAGATTTACAACATTAAGCATCAGATGTGTTTTGTTTCATTTTAGAAATATTGCTTTACCAGTACAAACCTAGAACTCTAGTTCAACAAAAGGAAGCTTTACTGCTAATAACTTCGAGGGTATCACAAGCAAAGTAAGTTTATAAGAATATACTCTATATGGGAATATAATTAGTTAATAAATAAAATTCCAGTGCAAGTCTAATGTAAATTATTCTAATCTATGCCATAGATTAACTGGAGACCTTGAATGTCCAGTTAAGTTTATCTGTCTGAGACTTGTGCAACAGGCTACATTTTAAACCTCAGTTTAAAATACATTAGAAATTGAAATGAACAAATGTTAAACCATTATTTGAAACAAGAAGTATTTTAACCAAGTTAAATCTAAGAGCCTGATCTCTCTGTATCTCAACTTTTGAATGCATCATCTGTGTACTGCCCTCTTTATGTCACTATAGTTACACTTGCAGGAACCATTCCATCACAGGTTCCTACCAGTCGTGTTCATTTGTGTAACGTCAGTGGAAATAAAAAAGCTTGGAAACTCCGAAGGGACGCTTGTAGAGATAACTTAAGCGTGAAAAGTGATGATGACTGTGCTTAGGAAAGAACTGCCTGCCAAACTGCAAAATGGATGCCATTTATTTGACATGACCATGGATAAAACTGTGAGAAGACCATTTATCATAAACTCTGTAGAAACACATATATTAAAGTTAAATAACTCTACTGCCTTTGGGAAGCAGATAGATTTGATTAACACCTGATAAGAAGAAAAAGTGTATTATAAAGCTCTATTAGACAACATTTCATTACAATGAGGGCTGGATAACGTAACTTCTTTCCAAACAGACTAAAATTTCTTTGAAGATTCCAGTCAGTAATAAAAAACATTATGTAATTCTATCTGAAAGAAGGAATAAAGACAGGGAAAGGGAATAAAATAAGGATATAACTCATGAGGTTTTTTGTTTGTTTTTTTTTTAAAAAAGTAGATATTCAGGACTTGCTATGGACCCACTGAAGACATTGCCTCGAAAAAATAAGATGACACAACTTACACTTAAAAGGAACCTGCAAAATGCAGGTAGAACTTCCAAGTAGTCCTACAAAGCATCAATAGGTCATTTTCAGAGATGGAAATTTGAGTCACAAAGCATTTTTCAGAGGTTACAGATCAACAATGTACCTCTTGAACTGCACTCATTTCCAGAGTTCCATTAAAATAGCACATTTGCACTTTCCTAGCTTAGTTATATATCATAACAGTGGGTATAAAATATGTGAAATTACCATGCAATCAAAAATGCTAGAGCTCGCTTGTTTTTTTCATTTTATTCAATATAGTCAGTTAATCACGGTACTTCCCCCAAAAAGTAAAAAGCTCCATGCAAGGGAAGTGTTTCCTGCCAGCATCAATCCATCATCACTCGAAACACATGTCAGTTTTCCATCCCTGTGCACGGCTGGATTTGTATTCCATGTTTACATAGTGCCCCAGGGCAGTTCATTCTCCACTGATGCACAGAGTCTTGTTAACAGCAAGTCTGCTTTGTTAACATGAAGGGAATGAAAGCTTCATTGTAATTTAATGTTCCTGGTTCCTCTTTGCTTTTTTTTTTTTATACAGGCCACTGGAATGACACTCATTATATACATAGAAAACTACACAGCTCTGGCACTAGGCTTCACAAAACGAGGTGGGTTTTGTTATTGTTGTTCTGAGCTCAAAGGCATTTATACATAAATCTTTGAATCAAAAACTCTGAATTAATCTGTCAACAGACTTTTCACTCCAACCTTTTGGCACCTACACATCTCCTCCTCCTCCTCCTCATCTCCTGTTGAGATTTTACAGCTTTCTAATATTCAAATCATTTTCTTGGTGGCTGAACATACTTCCGAGATTGACAGCATTCTTTATCAGGGTATTTCAGTGAAAGTGTCTGAGCAACAACTACCAGGTTTTCTAGAGTGCCAACAAAGGGTCTAATTCTAAATATAATGTGCAATGAAAGGCTTGGAATGAATAAGGGTTCAAGCTCAAGCATGAAGCTTCAAAAAGTCCCTCTTGCTTTTCCAAGTACCTACAAACACGGAAAAATCTCTAATGCATGTTATGTTGTCACAGAAATTGTCAAGATTCTTCCAGACCCATCGCTATAAGCAGTTTTCTAATGGGAGTATTCACATTTTTCAGGGTGAATGCTTTCTTGAAGGCTAACTTTAAGTTGGCTATTTATTCTACTGTCCTTCTCCAAAGGTGCTCAAGTGCTTTATCACAGAAAATAACCATTTCAGCATATGAGATAAAACCTTAAGCATTCTACACACATTCCTCTCAGTTCTCCTGTACCATGTCTCTGGGCTCTGAAGTTCACATGCTCATTACAGGCTACTTTCCAACACTGCAGTAATAACTGAAATCTGTTCGCTATTTAGAATACAAAGTTAATTATATGTAGTAGTCTTTCTTAGAAGATGCAGCACATGGAAGTTTGGCACAGCCAGGTATCTACAGCATCCTCTTCCTTTCCACTAGATTCACATCTAGAATGCACACTATACTGGATACCCTCCTTAGTCTTTGACCATAGGCAAGGGAAGAAGAGCTGGCTTGTCTAAAGGGAGGGGATTTCTCTATACTGGATACCCTCCTTTGTCTTTGACCATAGGCAAGGGAAGAAGAGCTGGCTTGTCTAAAGGGAGGGGATTTCTTGCCCTTTTTGCTGGATTACACTAGGATTTTTATGAGGTAATTTTCCAAAGAGTTTGGCTATTATAAGCCTGGAAGAGCTTAGAGTGTCTGTACATTCCAAGTTCTCAGTCTCTGCTGCCTGAAGCAATGGCAGCAGCAGAATGGTCAAAAGCATGTCTGTAATCGAGACACATTTACCATGAGAGCTCTAGCCAGGAAAGTTTATCCAGCAGACTGAATTATTTGTTGCCAGCGTTCCTTTCCATGTCACAGAGGCCTTGAGAAAGGAAGCTGAGAAGAGAGATGTTTACATGGCTCCAGAAGACACCTGGAATATTTTACCTAGGTAAATCTCAAATGTATCAATCTCTGAAAAAAGAAAACTGCATGTAATAGAAAGTATCATCTTTTTTTTAATCCATTTAATCTGGACAGTAACAAAACAAAACCTAGATCTACCCCCAAATCTCTTGATTTTCTAAAATGGACATCTTAGGAATATCACTGGACAGAATATGTGCAGTGAACATTTATTCATGCACTAGCTATCTACAGATGATTGACCATCAGCATAGAGATTATACTCTGTTATAATAACCTTTAGAGCAGAAGTATGCACGCATTCACTGTGAACAATTTGTTGAAATGAAAGACAATCCAAACTGTAGCTAAACAGATATTATATTATTTTAACCATGACTGCACTTGCAAAACCAAATCAGAGACCTGAGCTTCACAACATGCCTTGCACCCACAAACAGAACAAAATATATTCACTGCCTTACAAAGCAAGGTGTCAGCTGTGTACAGACAAATCCAAGGTTGTGCTGGATCATTCACTCCAATTTCACAGAGCCAACTGCTAAACAAATAAATCTGCTCTAGCAGTCACTGCTTTTTGCTACTGCTCCTCCACCTCCCTTTCCTGGGAATTGCGTTGCTCAAACTCTGCTCAGTATTCACAAGCCATAATGCTGGCAGGCTTCCAATGGACAACCTTGCTGGCATTATGGGCTTGAAGATCTCCTAGCCTTGATCTGCAAACTTCATTATTGGTCTGCTGGCACATCCTTGGACAAATAAGCACGAGAGCATAAGGATGCGAGACAGATTTTAGTTTCTTAGGCATTAGTCTCTGTTCACGAGTAGTTTAGTTGTTGTAGGTATCACAACACATCAGTGACTTGGGGAATCTTAAAAGTCAATTCAAAAGGTTCAGACAATATTGTTTGAAAGAGCATTCTGAATGGCTATGACTGCATTTCAAGACAAAAAGTAAAGGCTTTTGCAGTAACAGAGACTCTAGAGGATCAAATACTAGACTTGAATGTTTACATTTGTTACCTTTTTACTTAATTTACTTTTCCTAAAGAAAGGGCAAGACCATTTCAATGATTAAAATTGTTATTCTGAAGGAAACATATAAGCAAATGGACCACCTAAAAATTCAATATACTTAATTTCCAATCAGTAAGATTACCAGCTATGCAATTTTTCCAAGTTATCTAAACACGTACATTACTTAGATTGTTTTAAAATATTTATACACAATACTGGAAAAGCTTCTGATTGAATAGGTACAGGTATTGTAAAGTCTTCCATCATTCAGCACTTTGACAGTCAGTGGACAAGAGAGACTTACAAATGCATATTCTATTCTTAAAAGAAAATAGAATGCAATTTTGGTATAAAGCCTAAAGGCATGATATCAGTAACAGGAACACAAAGTCTGACATTACAAAAAAAATTATTTTCCATTTCTCAACGTTTCCAGAAAAAACAAGCTACTAACTGTTAGTGACATAATGCCAGCACAAGTTCTCTCTTGGGGTTTTTTTTTGGCGCTTTAATACTCTGCATTTCTGCTCACCATAGTTTACAAGTCTGCTCCTTCCAACTACCTTTACTTCTAACGATACAGACTCCTTCCACAAGGTGTTCACTGATACCAGAGGCAAATGCATCCAAACACATCCATTCCTCTAAAGACACCCAGGCGACAGGATGCTTGGCTCACAGGGCTGTGGTCTGGACTAATATTGTCTTAACTGGGAAGACAAATTAAGTAGGATCAATTTCACCTAAGCAATCAAAGCTAGTAGGGGTGGGGCAGATGGATGATGGCAAAGAAACTATGCAAATCTTTCTACAAGTAATTACCTAAACTACTTGGAGTACTAGAATATTGTTTCCTAATTAACTACTTTTGATAAAAATTGAAAAATACTCCTCTTTTTGTAGATCAAGACACCATTATACACAAACTTTCCATGAGGAAAATGCAAATATCTAGGAGTCTATTAATCAGAAATCTTAAGCTTCAAATCTCTGTCCTCTGAACATAAAAATGTTAGGATAACAGAACGGTATTTTGTAACACACACAAAAAAAATAGTCCCCCTTAAAAGGATTCTAGAAGCACAGTTTGTAAAATTACATAAGCTTTATGCAAAGCAAATGTTATTCAGTGACAGTTGTCATAAATTAAACTGAAACACTGGCCAAGGCAACTATAAGTAATGGTTCAGAGTTGTGAATGAACTCGGAAAAAGATCTGAGTATCTCAGATTTTACCCACTTTCTTAATAGAATCTCTGGCGGCATCCTCTTCCGTTATAGTTAACCAGTGAAAATGGGAACTACACACATCATAACATCCCTGAAACAGCTACAGAAAATCCTTTTACTACTTCCCCACATAAGCCAAGTATTTTTAGTTTCTTTCAAATAAAGTTGCAGTGAAAAAAAGGAAAGCCATCATCTGATAGGCCAGCTCTCTGCTTAACATACGAAGTGGTTTGTACTCTGTTGTAGTAAACAGATTACAGGATTCAACAGAAAAAGAGAGTAGTCTAATTTAACCACATATATGAAATCAGTACACGTTTAATGTCGTAAGTAGTGACTTCTCAGTCTTTCCACATCAATACTTGTTTGGATTTCAAATAGCAAACTGTTGCAGGACTCAGAGATCATCAAAAGACACGACTTCTACCTTAGAGAAGCAGACAGACCCAGTGACGTAGTTCCCTTTCTTATAGGCCAAGAAATTCAAAGAGACCCATGGCATATGCAAAGCAGATGTTTTTAGTGTAGCATATAAACATGTATGATATTTCCATTAGGGCATATCCATATGAGGTGACTGACTGACTGGAAGACAGGATAGTGCTGACTAGAAATCACACAAGTCCTGAACTACTCCTAATGTTTACATCAGGAAATCACATTTTAATTTTGGCAGATGCTACTGGAACATGCCTGTTTTACATACATGTTTTCTCTCTGTAGCCTTCAGAGATTTCGCAGCATAGTAAAAGAGTTGGGTTCCACACAGTGCTACCCAGTATTTTGTCCAAGACGCTACCTAGAGAGAAAAGAGAAAAAAAATAAAGTGCAATGGATAAGTGAAATGTTTCATAATACTGAGCTGTAAAATAGCAGGCATCACCCTGCAAGAACACACCACCACTAACTGTCCAGCCAAACCATGGCCATGGTTCCAAAGCTGCTGTTTCCAGTTATTCCTTCAGGCCTATGAATGCATTAAAAATCTAGAAAGCAGAAAAAACATGTGCCTTTCCTCACTACTCTGCAAAAAAACTTCTGCAACCCTTACTGAACACTTCATTGAGTTAGAGTCCCTTTTTTTTCCATTTTATGTCCTGCCATACAGTATCCCCCATTGTCATGAACACATATTTTGATTTATAATTCATAATCAAGTATTTGCAATGCAAATGCTAAGCTTTACTATGAACTGATAAATTGTTAGGATCCACCTACCATACAGGAAGACAAGACATGCTCCTTTCTTTTAAAATTATCAGTAACTGTAAGAAATTTTATGTAGCATTACACTTCTGCTCCCTCGATTATGGGTATAGCTTTATAAACTTAATAAACCCACCAAACAGAAGAATGCCAACGCTAGCAGTGACCCTAAAGCTTCATCAGCAAGGCAGAGGAGATCTCGGACACTAGAATTAGTTGCAAAAGGCCATTTCATTGTATTTATATTTGAATAAAGGAAGAAGGTGAGAGAGTGAATTAAAAATCTTACTGTAGGTTTTTTGCCTTCTTTCAACAAAGTCTTCCTCCTGAGAACACCTTGAATAGTAACTGCTCCTGGATACAAATGAACAGCCAAATCTTCAGATTCTAGAGAGCTGAAAGGAACATGTGAAGACTTGTGTGAAAAAATATTTTTCCTACAGTAGTTCCAATCATTATCACACACTAATGCGAATATCTGTATTTTAATTTAGAAATGTCAACATTTTATTTATTGGACTTCATTGTGGAAAAAGACTGGCTGTTACAAGGAATTGCTGTTGTGGAATTTACACTCACAAGCAAAAGTGATCAGAAAAATTAATTAGCCAAGCAGGTAACCCTTAATTAAAAAAATTAAAAGTGAAGACAACTGAAGTACATGAACAACTAATTTTAAAAAGCAAATGTTTGAAGTACATTCATACAGTTGCTGTATGTGTTAAAACCTCTCCTCCAACCCTTGCAAGAAAGACTGAGTATTTTTTTGTTAGAAACACTGGAATCATTAGCACATCAAAACCAAAGCACAGCTCAAACATGCACAATCTTTAAAACATCTGAAAGCAAGAAGAGTGGGCAGGAGCAGTAATAAAGAGTAGAAACCTGAACCACAGCTTTAAGGTGTTTCAATGCATCTGGTGCTCTATCAATCATCTACCCTATTGTAGGATCTAAGAGCAATGGCCAAAACAAATGCCAGGTACAGCACTGTGAAAAGAAAACTTAGCTTTATTAAAATTGTGAAGCCGACTGGCTTACAAAACATTTTAAATCAACTGAAAAATCATTTTAGTAAATGTCAATCAGAGCATAAAACTAAATTGCTGAACCCAGCAGCTTTCTAGAAAAGCCAAAAAATTGAACAGCATCTAAAACTCATTCAGAAGTAAGCCAGGATTTGCAGTTTCAGCCATCCTAACATTCATAAATGTTCAAAGTAAACTGGAAATCTAGCAAACATTTTCATTGCAGCACCTAGTGAGGATGATGATATGGAGACAATTTTGGACACTGACAGATGTGAACATGAGTTTAATTCAGCGAGACAATGCTTGCCTCTTGACATGAAAAAAGTTGCATAGTTAGTGGCCATCTCTTTCCTAACTACAGTGCCACGCAGCTGGAGACGGAATTTCTATTTTAATTAATCAGAATAATTGGTTATATTACTATGTCAGCTTGCAAATAATACTATATATAATGAATTGGGGCCAATTTCATGCATTACTCATTTTAGCCATATTTCTTATTTCAGTGAAGAGGAGAAAAGAAATTCAATACAGAACTGCCAGCAAAGAAAACATCTTCAATGCCATCCATTAGCACGAGAAGCAGCTTTGTTGTCCACATGAGAACTACCAACACTGCTACACAGTGGTGGGCAGTTAAAAAGCTACCTCTGGTAAAACATCTTTAAGCCTTGGTATAAAGATCCAATGGTTCAGAATTTGGCTTTGCAGACCAGAATGAACAAAAACCCTTATGGTGATAATAGATTAAGTCACAGAAAAGGAAAGCTTTAAATCTGAAGAAAAAGGTCTCTACCTTTATTTTGACACGTAAGTTAGAAAGATAACATCAGAAAACACCCACTCAGTTATTAAACCAAACCAAATCACCAACACCAGAGGGAAAGTTTGACACCTCTGTGTGCAGTGGGGATTGTACCTGCTGGCCTTCATGTGGCCTCGATAGCCATTTCGTGACAATCTTGTTCCCGGACCGAGAGAATGGTACAACCTGTTCCTGTTGGATTCCATTATAAATTGTACGTATTACACATACTTTTATTCAGACAAACAGCATGACTGCTAAAACAGCACAGTACTTTTTTTTGTGTGCATATCACAAAGCCACTTCTTCCACATAAGAAATGGAGAATAATTTTATTTAGAAAAACGCATGCAGAGGTAGATACCATAGTTTTTTATTTCATCAGATATTCTCTTTGTCAGAACTCATAATATTGAAGTGCTTTATCGGCACTGAAGAACAATACATTTTGAGAGCAAAGTCTGCATTTAGTTCTTAGAGATTAAATCAATGTAAAAGAACCATATTAATAAAAGCTGTATGTCTATAAATGCTCACTTGAGACGTTACTACCAAAAAATTATTCAAATTCTATGAGTATGCACACACACACACACAAGCTGTTGGGCTGAAAAGAATCAAAACCACTATAAAAATATGACTGACACTGCTTAAAATAGTGTTGTATTAAGTATTATTGAGAAACCTAAGCAACATTTCAATTCTCCAGTTCTTAAAAGCTTTAAACTTTACATATAAGCTTCACATTTTAGAGTCCTTAACCTGATGTATACTGTTATCCATAGCCAGGGCTTGTGTTCTAGATCTGCCTTTTGAATACCAGTTTGCTTCACTGGAACCTTTTTTTTTTTCTGGATCAGATCCCATAGTTGTGTGAATTCTGTTTAAGTCAATAGAAGCATACACCCTTTGTTCTCACCTCCTATTTTTTTATCCATTTTTCTAGTTGCCTTTATTACACTGAAAGAGTGAAAATCAGGTCTAATTCTGCAGAAGCAGGCAGTTAAGTCCAAGACTGAGAACATCCCAGGCAAAATCCCCTACGTAGTATAAATCTAACAATCTGTCACCTGTGAGAGGGGCTTTGTGTTACCTGGACAGGGCTGTATTTCTCAGAATGGAAAACCTAAACAAGTAGCATTGTCATGTTTCAATCTGAACTCAGAGTAGCATACAGCAGGCAAACAAAACAGTCTTAAAGAATGAACACAGTAAAGGTCACCAGCAGTAAACAAGAATGGTTTTTGGTTGGCTGGTTTTTGGTTTTTTGTTTTAAAATCAGCTCAAATTATTGCCTTCGCTGCAGGAAGAATTATCAAAAAGATACTAATGAATTGCCACCTACTAATCTCTCCCAGAATACACCATCATTTGCTTTTCAACATAACTGGTATCTTTGAATTTATTATATGATTTTGTTTTAAAATACATTCAAGATATAGACAAATAAAACAATAATTAAGATGAAGGAAAGAAAACCTTAAGCTAAACTGTATATTTGTGTGTACATGTATTTTGCATGCAAATGAAATACATTTCTTTCTTACTTTTAAGCTTTTTTTTTTTGCATAACAAGGAGTCTAACACTCTTGCATTCAAGTTATTTCAGGGAAATCTATTCGGAGACACTCAGGATGACAACCAATGAGACTGAGGTGGCACTCAGTATACTGCCCTTAACATGATTTAACTATCAGAACTTGGAATTACAAGTCCTTCAAGTAATTGTGATTGGCCTAAAGGGACACCTCGAGGCTGAAAACTCTTACTCAAGTTTCACCCTAAGTTTCTGTTGCGCTTAAAAACAATCAGTGACTCTAGTTCTCATCCCTTCCGCATTTCCCAGTTACAAACAACAGGAGGGCCAAGAAAACCAAGCATATTTGACACAGTTCCTCCTGTTACCTGGGGAATCTGGGTATGTATTTAATTACTTCCTTTTAGGCATATTATGCAGATTTAAGGCATCCTACCCAAAGATCCTGTTTCTAAATCACTGGGGAATATTGAATTCCCACTCGCATAGGAAATAGTCATTAGTAACACTGGAAGTATCCCAATTTTGGCAGTAGCTGTTAAATCCAGACAACTAATGCTTCTCCCTCACTTAAAAACTCTTTTATAAGAACAGAAACCCACTGTACAGACCAAAACTAGTTATATTAAAATTTAACATTTGCATTTCAGTGTATTACCTATTAAACTCCAAAATATCCTTCACTATCTTATAAATCAAGGAACAGACACAAGGTTGCCACATATCTCTAGGAATTTCACACATGGTGTTTTGAATGCCTGTAAGGAATCCAACCCAATCCCTCTCCCTGGAAGCAGGCAAGAGAGCTCGCCCTCAAAAGCATGCAGCTTCAAACAGAGTTCCCAAAGAGTGCTCTCAAGAGAGAGGAAAGTACTGAAGGCACGTGGAATTTGGAGGAGGAGGAATCTTCTGATATTAATGGTTTGATATGGAGCAAACCTTTTAACTGGGGGGAGTCTAGGCCAGCCAGTTCTCATCGTGACAGGTTTGAAAAACCTCTGCTTTGTCTCAGAAGTCCACACAATTCTGGAGAGTGTTACCATTTTCTAAAAATACCAGCTTTATCTTGAAACTTTCTAAAATTTGCTACTTAAGGTAAAAGCACTCAATTCACCTCTGTCTAAGGCGTTCCCATGTAACATTTTTGGCTTTAAGAAACAATCTGAACTTGATTAATTCCATAATGCAACACAGAAGGAAAAGCAAGAAGAAAACCTTTTGAATGTTGCAGGTTGCATCAAAAGAGCACATGCAAGTTATAAATGTTTTTTCTGACACAATTTTCTTTCTATGCTTATATGCAATGTTCTTATTTCTTACCTAATGGAACCACAAGGACATTTCCTCATGTATGTAATCATATTTATAACATGAGATATCAAAGAGTTCACCTTTGACACTGAGCTATTTTCAAAGATTTATTCCAAAAAGTAAGACACAACTTTAACTGCTTCAATGAACTGAAGCAGAATATAAGTTTTGTGGTAACAGTTCCCAACTATAAAGTTCTTTGACAAAAATTTCTACCAAACGTGTCTTCATAGCAAGATAGAAAAAGTCATCCATAGCAATTGTGAGGCTGAATTACCTGAAATTGAGTTATGGAAGCAAACTATGCGCTGTATGGTGCATCTTACTGAGTTGTGAAAGGATGGCATTTCCACCCTTTACTATATTAAACTAGAGCTGTTATTCTCTTTCCATATTCTCAAATACAACATGGGAAAGGACTGAAGCGGTCAATGTCACCAGAGCATTTGCAGGTATTTGGATGAAGACCAAGATACTAATTCTGAGCCACAAAATGTGACGTTAGCAAGGGGCATTACTGTGCTTTCCCATGTAATACGGGCAAGTAACAATGAAGAGAAAAGCAAATGGGAGAGACAGAAGAGGTGACAATGTCAATGATGAGAACAAAGGGACCAAGAATGGATGGAATGTCTTGGGGAAAGTGCAAATAAAAAACAGATAGGTCACATGAATAGCATACACTGGATATGCAAATATATAAACCAGAAAAATGATATGGGGTTTAACGGTACTCTGGTTGAGCTGCTGAGAAGAACGTGTGCAATGACTGAGCATTCAATTAGACACGAGCCCTACTAACCACTAGTGAGCAGAAGCTACTTCTCTGCTGCTTTAAGAGATGAGTGAACTTACTACAGTTTATTAACACTTTATAAAAAGCAGGTTTTGAGTGGCACTTTTTCTTACCTTTCAAATGCTGGCCAGGAAGTCTCTTCACTGAGTTCAGAACCATCACTGCTACCTTTAAAATTATAAGAATGAATGATAGTTTATTTCATCATCTACAACAAAACTATTTCAATTATGTCTGTTTCTCCTCAGAATAGTTAAGATTAAATATGTAAGAAAATATTCACTAAAATACTACAATGAATATACTTTGTGATTTGCTTCATAAACTGAGTAGAGATTTGAAGGGAATGGGTCTAGAGGAGCACTAACAAGGGAAAGGCATTTTCAAAATTTGAAGAACATCCTAAACATGGATTTGCCTGATTAACACAACAAGCATTTAAAAAAGGTCAGTTATTTAAATAATTCCTTATGAAATCATATATGGTCACAACAAAGAGGTGCAACTTCATAATAGTACAAACTCACTGATGAATCTCCAACGTATAAGAAGGCTTTGTTGATTTGAGAAGCCTTAAACAACTTTTCAAAGCTATCTCCCACTTATTATATGAGATCACTACAGTCTTTCTTTCCTTCTGTGCTTCACAGTGTAATTCAAGTATTTTATTTTAAACACTACAAGTAGAGGAAAAAATACAAAATCCAAATATCTGATGCACCAACTCATGGCAGGTCCACAACTAACATACTAACTTTACAATTACATTGTAAACTATCAGCCTGAAAATTAGTATTTAAATACAGACACAAGGTAGTGTTACCTGTAATGTTCTTAAAGATGAGTAAACATACATGAGTATACAAACACTGTTAACAGAACTCAGTAACTTCAGTTACTAACTGTACTACAAACAATGCTCAAGCTGTTGTCTTGCTAGCTCTTCACCTTTCAGACCTGACCAACTTCCCATGTCAGCTACCATTCTTGCTGTCCACTTCAAGCCAACAAGTGTTTTTGGCTCCAGAGAATCTCAACTCAGTTGCAGCCTAATTCAATGTCAGTCACTGCTAAAAGCCCACCTTTTGGCACACTAACTTGACAGCTTGTTTGCTCTGACTCCTGAATACCCATATATAAAAGGAAGAATTGATTTACAGTGATTTTCAGATAAACTAAAAGAAAAGAAAAAATCAGAATCAATGCACCTTACTTAAGGATTCCCACAGAGAAACAAAGGCTGAAAATGGGAACAAGTTCCCTGTAATTTTATGCAGAAAATCAGCAGGGAACAGTGGTGCCCTTAAGAATAAAGATAATCTGCAGGAAAGTAAGTCTGGATATCCACTGAGTAAACACAGAGTAAATATGGAGGCAATAAATATTCAGACACTGCAGGGGTAATTCCAGCCACGAGCCAAGAAAATCTCAGCATGGACTGAAGTTCTCTCTGTACAAAATCCAAGAGAAAATACATGCCTTAATCTGTCAACCAACCAAATTTAGATGTCTCTTACCCAAGCATTAGCTCAAAGTCTTCATATTAACATGATTTCTAAGGGATACTAGATAATTTGGTCTCATCTTATCCTGAGCTTTTCCTAAAGGAAGGTCCTAACCTGGTTAGGGTTAGTGCCTAGTAAAAGGGACTTGTATATACTAGAAGAATCTAAAAGACATTAAAAAATGATGTTCCAGTGGAGCTACTGGCTCTTAAGCTAGGCATAAAGGTCTGCAAGAAGGGCAGTACAATATCTCAACAGGTGACTAATTATTTTCTAGAAGTGTCTTTAAGATTTTAGTACTTACATTCTCAGATCCTTGATTCTACTGCTTAAAAGGTCACAGCAGCAGGTAGCTTGCCCGTAAAAGTAAAGTTACTTATACTTCTGTGACTTACACTTTCTCTGCAGCTGAGGACAACATACCAAAGAGCTACAGTTACTACAGCTGAGTAAGCGTTCTTACTTCAAGTGACTGCACAAATTTAATCTATCAGCAAATGTTCTGGTGCCACAAAGCAGGTGAGTAAAGAGTGACTATAAAAATAATCAGAAGTTCTGTTCAGTACAGTTTATATCTGACCCGTACCACAGAAAAGTATGAGAATGTATGGACTGGACTCCACCTTGTTCCATGCACTTTTATACAGGAATACTTCCAGAGAGATGATTAATTATCCCAGGCAAAACTGGAGTAAGCAGCTGGTAACCTATCCAGATGGAGCCTGCTGTTATGGTAGAAGTCTTTGCAAAATCCCAAAACAAAGCTTAAAGTTTCCTGGAAGAAACAACTGTCACTTAGTACTTTCAGCAAACTCTACATCCACATCACAGTGAAAAGCTCAGTGCTTTATTTCATCCAAACAAAAACACAGCTGCACCCTCTGTAAGGCAATATGCAAAGTCTCTTCAAACACACAAGTAATGTGGCTGGCGGATGAAGAGACAGAATTGGATCCAACTGAGTTCAGAGACAACTTTAGGCAGGTATTTTGGGTCAGACCTCCCAGCTGACTACCTTTGAGGAAGACCGTTTATAGTAGAGTATGTTATAGTAAGATCTTAAAATAGCGTAATCCCTTTAGCAGGTGGAATGACAATTAGAAAGGTGGGTTTCAAGTATGATGATTTCTCAAGAAAAGGAATCCAGCATCCTGGACTGTAGTGAAGACAAGAGTGAGTTTCTTGAGCCACCTAAACACCAAGGAGCACAAATAAGAGAATGTCATGAATAGGAAGTGAATAACTGATGAGACAGGCAGAAAGAGTTGGGGCTGTTCAGCCTGGAAAAGAGAAGGCTCCAGGGGGATCTTATAGTGGCCTCCCAGTAACTGAGGGGCCTACAAGAAAGCTGGGGAAGGACTTTTCATAAGGGCAACTAATGACAGAACAAGGGGAAATGGGTTTAAGCTGAAAGAGGGGAGGTTTAGATTAGATATTAGGAAGAAGTTTTTCACTGTGAGGGTGGTCAGACACTGGAACAGGTTGCCCAAGGAAGTTGTAGATGCCCCCTCCCTGGAAGTGTTTAAGGCCAGGCTGGATGAGGCTTTGAGCAACCTGGTCTAGTGGAAGGTGTCCCTGCTGATGGCAGGGGGGTTGGAACTAGATGATCTTTAAGGTCCCTTCCAATCCAAACCATTCTATGATTCTATGCTACTATCAGGTGTGCTCACATCCAGTTAAGGTACAGACTGCATATTCTAAGCAAATCTAATAGTCCAGAATCTAATAGTCCTGAGAACAGGTTCTCAGCTGTTTTGGAGAAGGCCTGACTGAGACCTCTCCAAACAGAGAGTCTCTCCTATTCATTTCTATAGGTTAGCCTACTTAGGAATTTTGTAGTAATTCTGGCTCGCAGGGACCTTGGGAGGTCATCTGCTCCAGCATTCTAGTCAAAACGAACCTTACTTGGCAATCAGATTGCTGAGGGCCTCATCTAGTCACGTTCTTCAAGGAGGCAGAGCCTCCAGTCTCTCTGAGTAACCTGCTACTGTGCTTCACAACCTGTATGTGAAAAAAGTTCTCCGTGCACGTAACTGAAATTTTGCTACTCGGAGCAGTCTGTCCTGCAAATGGTGCAGCAATTCCCGTTTGCTCTCGTCATCCAGCCAACACTGAAGTTATAAGGGACAATTAAAACCCTATTTAGTTCCTTATTACTGCACAGATTTAGCCTTATATTAACAAGATGTGCAACTTTAATGTGACTAGAGCTCTACTTGATTGAGGCCTGTGTGATAGAAACCCACATAATTAGAACTCGCTAGCAACACTATATTATGAAGTAATTTTTTATATTTAAAGTAGGTCTATACATTAAAATTTTATCTGAAATATTTTGATGTCAACTATATTAGCTTTGCTAAGAAAATTATATTTTAAACACTGCTAGTATTGCTTTTTAAAATGCAAAACAATTTAGAGCAGAAGAGCTGAAATGTCATCTTTCCAAAAGTGATAATCCTTGTTACAGTATCAGTACAGTTACAAAAGTTAAATGAATTTGGGGGATTCATAAACAAAAAGTTTAATTTAAAAAGGTTAATCTATACAGAAATTGCCAATTGCACTTTTAAAAACAATGTTAATTTAGAAAAAAGTGGGTGAAACATCACAGCTATTGATTTAGCATTTACACTGATGCCTATACAGGTTTTTAAAAAACATGGAAACAAAAACATGGAAAAGGTGGAACTTTAGCATTTGACCAGACCTTTCTAACATCTATACAGAACATCTCTAGCAGGGTTTTTTTTTTTAGATTCTAAAAAACTCCAGGCAACTTTCTGCATAACAAAAGTTCTGATACTAAAAAAATCGCTTTCCTGAAAAGCAAAAGAATATATATCACATCCCTCCCTCCAAAACAAAACAGAGGTGAAAGAACTGTTTTTACCTTAGTAAAAGTTACATGCCTAGCCAAATTCTTTTTAAACATTAAGTGCACTATTTGACTGTCACCTCAACTGGAAATATTTCATTCATTCAGTACTTGAAAAATATATCACCTTCTTAAATTCTTCTCAAGTATGTACTTGAGTTTTTCCAACGACCTCAAGCAGGTCTTCAGGTTAAACTTAATAACAAATCCTAGGCAGTATAAATCCTTTCTATTAAGCCATGTTCTATACAAGTTCTCATTTTATTTAAGAAGCCACTTGATGCAAACCACTATCTTATTAGTTTTCTTGATTGCTAATAAAATTTAAAATTTCTTGTACAGGATTAAAAAAAAATATCAAAGTTGTGTTTATCTTTACTATGTAAGAGGAAAGCTTTTTCTTATCTTGGGGATAACAGCAATTGGCAAAATGCTTTTTTCACTACCTGCACTGATGATTATCTTAGAAACTCCAGGACTTTTTACAGAGAGCTCTAGTACTGAAGCTGAATACAGACATGAATTTTCTGATCTCATTAGTAGGTGTGCATATACCTATGTCTGTGCTAGGTTCCTAGTTATGGGATAGGGAATGCCTAGACCATTGCATACCCAATTCCCCCCTGGTCACAGCATCCACTCATTGCTGAAATTCTGAGGATATTGAACCTTTAACACAGGCTTCCTTTATCCAGAAGTTAGCCCCCAAAGTTAAACAGGTGTTAATATAAACAAACCAACCCCAAAGAGTTTAAAAAGTATTCACAGAAAAAATTCTTTCCCCTTCTCAAATCTGCAACCG